ATTTTTTTATACATAGACTTCTCATGACTTTAGGACTCAACTACTAAAATGTATCAAACTCATTTAGTTTTGACTCTACGTATATTAGATATTCCAAATTAATTTAGTTTTAACTCTACATATATTATATGTACCAAACTAATTTAGTTACAAATATTTTATTTCTATTAGACTGAAGTAGTAGTAGTTTGTTTGCTTCTTCTTTTTTTTTTTTTTTTTTTTTTTGACTAAAGTATATATATTAACTTCAACCTTTTATCTTCAAGAATTTTCGGATCAAAATTTTTTATTAATTAAACTTGTACCTATAATCACACATATCTATACTGCCCATTAATTTATCTTTGAACTTAAAATTTTAATTTTGTTCATAATTCTAGAGATATGATAGTATCTCAAAAGAGTATAAAGTAATCTTATAATTAAAAGAGTAATTTTGAGAACTACAATCACTTTCTTTTTACTTTCATTCTTTTCAAACCCACAAAACAATATTTTCTCATAACTTTCTTGAAAAATTTTCTTGCTAACTAAATACATAATAGAAACTTGATTTTCTTTTCCTTTCCTTTACTTTCTTTCCCTTTCACTTTCCATAAAAAATTTCTATTTAACCAAACGGATGTTTTTAAAAAAGGGACAAAATTCAAATTTTTGGGCAAAAATGATTTTTTTTTTTTTTTTTAATTTAAAAAGATTGCTTTTGTTTTTCACCTCTATAAATAAATACATTAAATGACAATGGATATTGTACTGTTTACAATATTGTATACATAAAAAATATATTAATCTACTAAAAAATTTCATCAACAAACAATTTAGTTATTTATTCCGAATTAAAACATTACATAATAAATATTTTGTTACATAAAATTTCATGACAAATTAAAACCAAATAAATGTAACTTAAATTAAAAAAGTTAAATATTAATATTTTTGGAGAGCAAAAACGCACCGTTAGAACACATGCGACTGTTAAAATTTGGAGATGGCAAAACGCTAACTGTAAAAAAGATTTATTTAGCTATTGAAAATTGTTAACGTGGAATTGCCAAATTTGACAATACCATTAGAGTTGCTCTAAGGTTTGTGATGGCAAGTTTTTTTAAAAAAATCCCTACAATTTTTTTTTTGTTATTAAAAAAAAAAAAAAAAAACAGATCTTCAACGGGAACTTCTTAAAACTGCATTAGAAAAAAAGTGTAAAATGCCATAGATGTCATGATTACCACCATCTGTCTCTTCATTGTCTCTCTTTTCATCGGATCAGGATCCTCTCGGTTCCTTTGTTAAACTGCGTTAGTTTAATCGACAACACAATAATTTTAAATTGATAATACAATAACTATATAAAGGTTTTGAATGCTCAATTGAGTGGTGTTATAATATGTTTTTTTTCCTTAATTGGTACTGACATATGTATGTCTCTACAGAAACTCAAATTCTTGATCTTTCTTTAAGCATTAAGATATGTTGTCGTTAAGCTACTGATCTACTGATATGTTACAATATTGTACACTATTACATCTCTATATAATATAATATGTTAGATAGTGTTCATATAGATGTGTTTTACGTCGCTGTTGTATATGCGTCAAATATGTGATATAGTTGTGGTGCATTGTGACGTAACTATTGGCCCACTTAAAGCTCTTTGTTGAATAGTGTGTGCTGTTAATTTAATAGTGCACAAGAGAGTGAGAAAGATGATACTTTCCATTAATTACCACCTCAACCACAACGTCTACCCATTATTCTCTTTTATCATCTTCCCCTCCTTTCAGCTTTGATTTCCTTGTCTCTCTCCTTCTCTCTACCGTTTTTTTGTTGCTTGACATGGTGTTGTAGAGATAGCAGTTGAGCTGAAATGATGGATTACAAAGACGGTGGTTTTGGCGCCAAAATGGAGGAGAATGTAGTGGTGCAAGAGACAGTGAACGTTGGTGTTGTTTCACTTTCACCCTCCTCGCCACTGGTGGAACCTTAGGAACCATCGATGTCATGTTTGATGCCATAGATCCCCCTCCACCCGTAGGTAGTCTCTTGTTACGGTTCTTTATATTTTCAACTCTCTTTTTATCAAATACAAATCTCTCATTCCATGCGCATTTGCAATATATAAATATATTTGTAACATTTTTATAAATATATTTCTAACATTTTTATTAATATATTTCTAACATTTGTAATATAAATATATTCTCAAATACAAATCTCTCATTGCATGCGCATTTGCAATATATAAATATATTTCTAACATTTTTATAGCCCCACACGTATGTTATTGGGTTTGTCTAATCTAGATTGGATTATAAAGATCTCTCAGCTCTTTCACCATCTGCAAATGAGTAATGTTGCATTAAGTGTATAGGAATAGAATGAAATAAAATACTCATTCGAACCATTCTTTTGATTGGTATGCAATTTAAAGTGGGAATGGCCATTCCATTGAAATGAAAATCCATTCTTAATTTCTTTACAAAATTGTTCTCACATGACCGATCTTTCCGATCAGTTTCTATTAAACAAGCCCCTCTCTTATGACTGTTTCTCTCTTTTTTTTTCCATTTTCTCTACCTCAATAGGGACAAAAACAGGACATTTTTTCCCTTAAAGGCAAAGCAACCTTTTTTTGTAATTTCCACACTGGTGACTTCTTACATCTCTTCACTCGCTTGCCAATGAAAATTCATTCTACAACTAAACCTATACAATGGCCATTCCATTCCCAAGTAAATTTTTTTTTTCTTTTTTTTTTAAATCAACTTTCCAAAAAACCCTTATATTCCAAATCCAAAAACCACCATTACCTTCTACCACAACCACCTCCACCTTACACCACCATTGACTTCTACCATTACCACCGCCTTCCACCACCACCGCCGCCATCGACTTTCACCACCATCCACCGCTTTCCACCACTGCTACCGCCTTTTATCATTGACACCGCCTTCTTTTGTTGCAACCACCACCATCGCCATCCGTCACCACCTTCCACGGCCGGCCGCCTTTAACCACTGCCACCGTCATCACCCCCATCATCACCACCTTCCACTGCCATTGCCTTTCGCCACTGCCGCCGTCGTTCACCACCGCCATCGTCACCACCTTCCACCACCCCCACCACCACCGCCTTTTACCACCATTGCCGCATTCTACCGCCACCACCTTCCATCATCGCCGCTGCCTTCCACCACCACCTTCCATCACTGCCACTGCCTTCCATTATCACCTTCGCCGCCGCCTCCTTCCATTATCACCTTCGCCGCCGCCTTCCACCACCACCGTTGCTGTCACCTCCATTGCCTTCCACTACCACCATAGTCACCTCCATTTGCTTCCACCACCGCCACCTACACCACTACCACACTACTGCCACCGCCTTCTAGCACCACCGCCGCCTTCCACCATTGCCGCCGCCTTTCAACACCACCACCTACACTACTACCGCTTTCCACCTCTACCACCACCATCCACCACCATCCACCACCGCCATTGCTACCATTTATTTTTACGAAATTATAGAAGAATGTCATTTTGTTAATTTAATTTATATATTTTTAAAAACTCAATTTGAAATTTATTCCATTCTAAATTTCAATTGATCCAACCAAATATTAGAATGGTTAGTATCATTCAATTTCTATACGTTTCATATTTGCAACCAAACAATAAAATGATCATTTTATTCCATTATCATTCTCATTCCATTCCCACTTGCATTACCATTCTCCTTCCATTTCATTCTTGGCGGCATAACTCTGAGCGGTGGTGGGGACTCTCAGCACCACCAGATTCCTTTTATGGTAGCAACTAGCAAACCTTGGGACCCTATAAGATTTTGTACTTGGGTCTGCGTTTTTTCTCCAGTAAAAGGTCTGTTACTTCAATCTTTTGGGTGTACTTGGGAACGATTGTGGGTTTTCTACTTTTTGTTGACCAACTGTGAAATGAGTTTTTTTGCGTTGAATTTAGTGGTTTTGAATGAAGAAAGTTGCCTTGGGTCTACGAATTATTGCCCATGGCTATGGCTTCCAAGAAACAATTTAAATAACTTACATTTGTGAATCCCTGCATTTAACGTCAAGTGATGTTGGTTGTTAGACAACACAATGTTGCTAATAGGCCTTCAACATTTAGGTGTTAATGTCAGCAACCCTATTATTTTCATGGCTTTTTGGGACTCATCTCATTCATCAATCCTCCGACATTACAAAACTTGCATGCATGAACTCATGAATAAAATCCTGTTAATCACACACAGGTTTATCTGCTAGTGATGATGCTTTCAAACTTTTAGGTACGAGTGTTTGATATCTAAATTGGGAGGGACAGATGCGCTCAATCTTGAATCCAGAACATCTGAGTTGAGGTGACATAAGCACCAAGGAGAAAAAGGAATCGACTCATGAACAAGCTCATCAATAGAAAGGTCGGTCCATCATATATCATGAGAATAAATGACATTCAGTTTGCCTTCCTGAGACAATTTTAGCACGATTCTGCAAAATTCTAAGTTACCTGAACCAATGCATAAATTTCCCGCTTCTTTTTATAAATTGTAACGCCATTGCACCTGGCAAATGGATCATGGAACCATAAAACAAATGAAGAGTCATACGAGCAAAGATTAGTCATACAAAGAAAGGTTCTTTCATGCAATGCAGGTCCCATGTGTTCCTCCAACTCAATGAATAATTAAGTATGAACGAAAAGCCAATTTTATATTATACCTTTTAACCACCTGGTTGCACCTTGAGGAAGGACGGTGGAGCCATAAAACAAACAAATTGTTACACTCAAGTGCTTCAAAACTTGGCTTCTAAATTAAATAATGTCACATGAAATACACATTGTTACATCCATACATCTAAGGAACAATTTAAACAACAGAATACAGATATGTACCGACATTAGGACGTCAACTACATCAAGAACTTGGGAAAATAATCAAACAGTAACAAGACTACAACTAAGATTCATAAGTAATGAAATCAAACTAAAGCACAGCAACCATACCTACTAAATATGCCATATCAAGAAAAGCTCAAGTACCAAAATTCGATGGCCTCCCTGCTCATTTTTGTATATAGATTTGGAAAAATGAAACAATGTAAAAAGAAAAAGAAAGAAAAAAGAGAGAGAAATTAACAGCAAAGCATATAAAAAAGGGCCTCCGCTTCAAGCAGTTCGGAAATCCAACCTCCAGGGCCGGAAGGATTGGATTAGGGATGGTGTTTAATATATAAATTGATGCACTAAAATTGAATGCCAATTCTGACAATGACGCAGACTGCACACTTCCAACGGTTAAAGATCTACAAAGAAGAAACTGATCTGCAGCCACCCAGAAAGCAGTCCAAGGATTACAGTGCTCCCAGATCCCATATATAGAATTCTTTGCAATACAAATGATACAGTGGATATGGGGGTCGGAGACTATGAACACATCTACTCACTTACCACCCATCCTCTAAGAGCACATCAGTTGGATGACAATTTCCAGGAGTTCGCCATTGCCCATCCTCAAAGAACTGGAACAAAGAAAAGAAAAATAAAAAGGGAAATGAGAAAAATATCAAATAATGTTGAGAAGAAAGTGAAACATGAACCACCTATATGAGCCTACAAACACGTGCATGTGGAAAAACAGAAACACATAAGAACAAATTTCTTAGAAGAGATCACATATGGAGGCAGTGGAGCAACAGCAAAACTAAGAACCATAATTGCTTCAAAGGTAGTTCATTTCTTGCTTACATACCCTTTTTTCTTTCTTTCTTTCTTTCTTCCATTTTTTTTTTTTTTTTTTTTTTTCTCCTTTGGATAAAAAAACATGTTTGTCTCAAGTAGTTGTGCATAAGGGAAAGATAATTGGTAGAAACTTTATTAGATTACCTTATTTGAAAGGTTGAAAAATCAGGAGAAACAAAAAGAGACTCCCAAATGAGTCTCTAGTACCATTTTCAATTATTATTATTATTTTTTACTCATTTAGAAGGGGAGGTTGGGGGGGGGGGGGGGGGGGGGGGGGGTGTTGGGGGAGGAATAGCTTTCAAAAGAATCTTAAAATTTTATGTCATTTCCATTAAAGGGTATAAAAGCTGTTCCATGTTGCATTCTTCAAACCAGAACCTCTTTGCCAAAACTTCTTCTACAGCTAAAAGCAGAGATGTGCAAGGAAACTGGGAACTTGTTTCCCCGTGTCCACTTTCTATGATGATCTCTTCCACTCTCAAACATAATAAAGGGAAAATGCATTATAATAATGTAAGCAGCAGTTCTACCCACAGGGCATCAAAATTTTACCACCAATCAGAACATGCCACAATGCTTTTTGTTTGACTAAATCAACAACATTAAGGGAAAATGACTCAACAATACCCAAGCATAGTTATAGAGAAGTGAATGTTGTAACTGGGAACTGCTAGATTGCAAGTAACTGCGACGGTCCTACAATCTAAGGCAAGTTGACCCTTGAGCATAGAGTAGCACAATCAAGAAGAACTTACCAAGCTTTAACGGTTGCCAGATTGTGGTGCAACACATTTCTACTGCCATGAGGTTTGCTTGTGCCTAAAGCTGTCGTTATTCCACCCTCCCTCGGGCTCTTTCCTCTTCAAAGCACCACCACCCGCCATCTGATAAATCCTTGCTTGCTCCTCTGCTAGTGCCTGTGAACTGGCAACAGCAAGTTGCCCTGACATTAGAGGCATTGTCTCATCTCTCCCTTCTATGTCCGGAACTCCAGGGCCTGCATTGAGGTCCAGACCTTGCCTACCCCATTTTCTGCTGTTCTCACCACCAACATTACTGCTACCATCTGGAAGGCTGACACCATAAGGTCTTAGGTACTGGGTGGAGACTGCACCAGCAGGTCCAAGTAACTGTGAATTTGTGGCAGGTAAACAAAGGCGCCCACCAGGTGAGGAATCCATATATGTGGTTGATCCACCTGAGAAAGTGGCTGCAGGCAGAGGAAAACTGGTTCCAAAAGGGAAGACAGGATACTGCAAGGGAGAAGACTGAAAAGGCACAGCAGGAGTAGAAGACAATACAGAACCGCGGTAAATATCAGGAATAAATGGAGTCCCACCAGTAGGGGGACCCAATATTCTTTGTGGCCCACCAGCTGCAACAATCGGAAAGGGCTGATCCCCTCTATCAGGCAAGATTGACTGAAATGTGACAGCTGGATAGGTGTTCCCAGATGAATACCATGATGAGAAGTTACCAATATCTGCATTGTTCACTCGAAGACCAGCAAAAGGTTGCTGCAATTGCACACTGCTCCGAGCTTGGTGGTTAAGTGACGATAATTCAGTACTTCCTTCATCAAGCATAGGCCCATTGTTTAGATCAAAGTCCCTCCTGACCTCACAACTAGAAAATCCACCTGATGATGGTGACTTAACAGGAAGATGCAGCGCCTCCAGTCTATGATTACTTATGCTGGAATACAGACCCATATCACTAGTTTCATCAATTTGGTTCAAATCAAGATCAAGTCCTCCAGAGCCACGAATAGGTGCAGAACCAACTAGATCAGTTCGTGCCAAATCATGATTATATATACGGTCAGATGTAGAAACTGTCTCCTGAGCTGAGTTTCGACATGCCATGTCCTCAAGCACTCTTTCATCTGGCACATTCAGATCAATATCCAATAAAGGACGACCATGTTTGGTGGTTGTAGCATCATCAGGAGGAGGGATGTTTGGTGTACCCAGTGGCATCTCCAGAACCTTCCTCGGCTCAGCTGGGCGAAAAGCACTTGTTGCAGCAGATCCCTTCCATCCAAGTTCCCCTTTACTTCTCAAGAGATCTTCTGGAGGCATAAAAGGACCTTTTGCAGCAGCAGCCACTGTAATGGAAGCAGGAAGCACACTGGACACTGAAGAAACAGAAAAAGGTAACGAATTAGCTAATTGAACACGAGCTGAACATTCAGGGACAGCCAAGTTGACTGGCTCCCCATATTTTCCATCATCTGCATTGAAGCCTTCATTTAAATCAAATTTTGGCTTTGCAACCATATCTGATACCCCAGTAGAAGTATCTGCTGTGGTGGATGCACATTCCTCTGTTTCATCTGCATCAGCACCAGTCAACTTAGATCCTCCAGACATCACAGGCCGCTCCGTTTCTTGGTTAGAAAATACAGATGAATCCTTGTGATTAACAGCTCCACCAACATGCTCAAGAACCTCTTTACTTTCCATATTTGACTCCATGCACTCCTTCGGATCTGTAGCAGCTGAACCCAACCCAGCTACAACTTGATTCTCAATAGTTGGAGCACTGTTGGTTTTACGATCATTTTCTTCTTCTTCAGTCTGATTAACATGACTTGTGGTGATCATCTCATTAGCTTTTCTGACCTTGAATTCATCCAGACTTTCTGAAGCTGGATCTTTATGAGAAGCAGAAGGTTGCAACACTTTCTGATCAGCTGCATGCTCAGAACGCATCATCACCAAAGGTGGCTTCTGCTCTGTATGAACACCACTGATTAACCCTTCATTCACATTACTTTTGTCCTCACCATCAATATCTAACTTTGGGAATGATGATGAACCTTCAACAGCTCGTGATCCATCTTCTACACATGAAAGAACTTCATTGACCTTATCACCAGTTAACAAAGAAATGCTTCCTTTCGGTTTAGTATCTAGAGAGCCATCAACACTCACACCAGTTGCAAATGCCTTTTTCTCATGAAGTAGTTTGTTTCCTTCACCATCAGTTAGCTTCTCGGTTGTGCAGGCAGGGGATGCAGTAACAGAAGTAACACCTTTCATTTCATCTGATATTTCATTAGTCTCTAAACATGAGTAGGAAGTTGGTTGCAAATCCATTTTTGATAAACTAGAATGCTCGTTAGACTCTCCTCCTGCCTTCTCTTCCAACAAGGAAGAAGTGGTTTTTCGGTCTCCAGAGCAGTCTGTTAATGCGTGTTTAGATTCATGATGTATTCCATCTTTAGAGCACGGAATATCAACAATAACACCCTGTTTCTCAACAACACCGTCAATAAATTGGCTTTGATCTTGAGAGAGGTTATCTACACGTGCTGACTTTGTCTTGACCCCATTACCAATGGATGAGCCCTCAGCTATAGGGGTAATTCGCTGCGGAGAGTTAGTTGGTGAAATCAAATCAGACCTGGACATTTCACCAGCAGCCACGCTAGCAAGCAGGTTCATTCCAATATCATCCCCAGTTGACATGGGTGCATTTGATCCAGAGTATTTGACAAAGCTTTCAATTAAAGCATTTATTGAGCTGAAAGAAGCCTCATGCTTTTTCCCCGACTTCAGTTCATTTCCCGTTGACGAGGAAGCAGCTTTTGAGACTTCTAATTTCCTAGTGTCATCACCCATCCCACACCGATCATCATCAGGAATAGCAGCAGGCAACCCATCACCTTCATCTGAACCAGTCTGCACATCTTTGAAATCATTGATTTGCCATGACTCAGTATTCACGTCAGAAGTAATATTAGCTCGACAAGCATCACTTTTTTCCTTTGAATTGCGATCAGATTGATCATGCTTCTCTGAAAGAACAGGAGAAGAAGCTCTACTGTTCATAATGGATGTATCATCAAAGGATCCTCCACTGGCACTTTGCGCAGGACTGCGACTTCTGTTTCGTATCTTAACTATCAGCTTTTGATTATTACCCTCCATAACGGGCACATCTGCCTTTTCGCAAGTTCCAGAATGTGACATTTTTTCCGAAGCTGGATTTCTATGCAATGAACTTCTGATTAATCCAGTTTCCCTCTGAACTCCAGACCCAGGGCCATTATTTGATTTCCGATGTCGAGAGCCACCACCCGAGAACTTATTCACACTCATTGACCCTGCTGTCGAGCTCCTTGCATCCTCCTTCCCTGAGAAAACTTTAGTTTTGGCGTGGTCACTTGAATAAGATTGACTGTTGTTGTGAGACTGACTAGAACTGCTGCTCTTCTCATCCCTTGCTGTTGTTGAAGGAATATCAAAGGTGCTGCTAGCTGCATACCTGGGTAGACCATCCTTACCTGAAGCAGGTGATAGTGCTGATTTCATCGGCCCCGGAGATGACGATCCAGACTTGGCAGTGGTTTCACCCTGGACAGCCTTAACTGAAGTAGTTTTAGATGGCTGCGTAACTGAGCTCTTTATTGCCACCTCGGAGGACCCACCAGGATGTCTGTTTCCACCATGGGAAGCTTCTGGAAGACGTGACCTGGAAGCCCATGAAACAGTCTGATTTGAACCAGACTTTGCATCAATAGTATTCATTTCAACCTCAACACGCTTCTTCCATGTGTCAACTAAAGTCCTTGCCTTTTTCTGAATTTCCGAATTTTTATGTGTACGTAAATGATTAACAGATTTGCCAATGTTACACATTTGTAAAGCATGAATATTCACAGGCAGCTTATCCAGAGCACGAAGTAAAACCAAAAGAAATTCTTCTACTGATTTATCACCATCCCTAGGGCTACTACCATCACCAATCCTCCCTTTGTCGACGTCTTGGAGCCATTCATCCAATACAGGCAATCCCCTGAGCTGCACAAACCGACTAAGGCAATCAAACTTATCTGTTGCTGCTATCACACCTGCAAGCATTGATCTACTAATCAATTCCATTTTTCTCTCAGCCCTATCCGGCTGCATGAGTTGAACCAGTTTCTCCACCCCTCTGGAATCTACAAGCCCTCCTTTTTCTGTTATTTTAGCAATCTCGGATTTCAAAATGCTTTCTGGTTTACACAGACCAGAATCACCATCATCTTTTGAAGAGCGCTCCCGTTTGACAGGCTCAGTGTTCTGCTCTGCCCGGTCCCTTTTCTTCCCCCTGACTTGAGAAGCAAAAGAAGTGGCACTCTGTACATTATCTGAACCAGGTTTCAATTGTGATGTTGATGTTGAACCATTTATTGCTTTTGGAGAACGACCACCAGGCTGCACTGTTGCATGCATTTCTGTTTGTGTTTTATATAACAACTGATCTACTTCTTCTTGTCGCTCCTAGAGAAAGATAAATTATGAACCATATATTAGAAAAATTAAACAGCGAGGCAAAGACCGAAACGATTACCGGCCTCCCCTCAAATTTTCTTTCCCTCTTTAAACGTATTTTAAATGCATGCAAAGGCAACTAAAACTTACATTAATATAATCTTGATCAGTTAGCCACCATAAACACTTGTTTGCAATGTCATAAACTCGCCGACACACAAATGAGGATATCCCTGGAGGAAGTTCAGCACCTTTAGGAAGGAATGCAACTTTACATGGATGGAGTAACGATGCAGCAGGTATCTCATCCTTATGAAAGGAATAGAAGACTTCGTTTGGCGCGGCGTCCAGAAGGATGCCTTTGCCAAGCTTCACTTCAGCCGGTCGATAAAGCCAATTCACACCCAACTGTATCTTGTTTTCTTTATTCAAAGTTAACCAACGAATTATTCCAATGAAAGGCGGAGAATCCTGGGGCGGTTTAAAAAGAGCACAATCACCAATGCTAATCTTGCGCCCAGCCTACAAAACAAGAAAAACTTCAGCTTACCATGAAATTTGTAAACCAGATAATAATCCAAAAGACTAATGAATAAAAAAATTTAAACGTTCAGTCCAGGATATGTTACCAGTAAATATTTTTTTTCCTCATCACTACACAGTTCTTTAATATCAGTACCGTGGTTTTTTTATTTATAATTAAGCATTGGCCCTAGATTGATTCTTGGTGGACACTGGCAATCAACTAACATGATTACGTATTTTAAAACAATTCTTCAGCATGTTCCAAGCGACTGTCAGAATGAGTGAATAATGCATGACAATTAAGCAATTAAGACGGATTTTATATCACACGTCAAGTTCATAGCATGTTTCAACAATTTGTTCAAGCATTTTAACTTGTGCAGATAGAAGGTAAAAATTAAGATTGTTTGGTAGCCGAGGAGATTGCTTCAGCCATGCCTTCGTATTTGTGTTCCTTATGCATCAATGAACATCTTCACTAAGTTCGTTCAACTAATGCATGACAGATAAACTTTAACATTTAGCATGTACCTGCTGTCGCATTAGTCTACTAAAATGCATTTTAACATGTAATTATGCATCTCAATGACGCTAGATGATGATCTGAAGGCAAACAATGAATCACATGAAGCACTTCTATTCCACTTACATTTTAACATGTAATCATGAACCTCAGTGATGTTAGATGATAATCTGAAGGCAAACAATGAATCACATGAAGCACTTCTGTTCCACTTGTAGGGTTGATTGCAACACATATAAGGCCTCTTCACATGTAGGGTTGATTGCAACACATATAAGGCCTCTTCACATAAAAAAACCTCAACTCTCTATCTATGATTTACCCAGTTAAATTTAACTATCATGAGTCACAAGACTTGTAATATAGACTTAACAGTTTATCTTAAACAAATAAAAAGATGTAGCTAGCACAAAATAACATCCGAAAGGAGGAAAAAACATATGAATCACAATGCCGTGACTCTACAGCTCAATCAACTTTTTCATTATTGACTTATTTGGTGGGAATATTTTTGTAAAAGAAATCAATAAATTCTCTTCAAACATAATCCTCACTTTTTCATATCAATCACAATGCCATGACTCTACAGCTCAATCAACTTTTTCATTATTGACTTATTTGGTGGGAATATTTTTGTAAAAGAAATCATTGAATTCTCTTCAAATATAATCCTCACTTATAACAGTTTATCACCGGTTTTAGCAGTATAGAAAATTGAGCTCATAGGAGATTCTCTATTCCATAAGGGCATCTTCTTGTTTTTCCTATGAATAGATTTATTTTATTTTTTCAAGTGTGACATTGTGATTATATTGAGAGAATTAAACAGAAAGGAAAAGAATGGACAAGGGAAAGAGGTTATCTTGTGTTTGTTTTAAAAAAATAAAAGGAGAGGATCAAAAGGGGCAAAGGTAGAGCCTATCCCTTAAATAGTGATTTAACCATCCTCTCTATATTCAGAAAAAGTGAATTCCTGTTTTATTATCATTCCTTACACTAAGAAAATAGAATCATCATTTCCTTTCTTTCCTCTCAACTACCTTTTCCAAGCACGATAAAGAATAGGCAATATCCTTCCTTCCTTTTCCCTCCATAGTTATCTGAACATGAGAGGAGCTAATACTATCCTCTCATTTTCTATCTCATAACTAATACTATCTTCTCCTTTCCCTTCCCTTCCCTTCCCTTCCCTCCTACTTTTCCAAGTCATATTATAAGAAAGACATCTAGTATTTAATATATTCCAGTAAATTCATGGATTTATACATCTGCCATAAAAAAATTCATCATATCCAATTCCCAAGCACGCAAGTGCTCCCAATATTAAGGGGGCTTAAGGGAAAATTTTGCTACCACCTATAAGGGGATGCCTCCTACCAGCCCCAGGAGATTATTGTGCAAGATAATACCTGCACAATGTGAGGTGTGTCCTAAGAAATTATATGAGAACCAATCCCAGCACGCCAGCTGGGATGCTGGGTTTGGTAATTCTGACTTCTTAAATCGCCTGGAGGGGAAAAGTTGTTGGCATTTATAGGGGGGCGTCTCCTACCCATGTAATAGGGTTTTTTTTTCTTTCTTCTTTTTTTTTTTTTTTTTTTTTTCCCTGATAAGTACCCATGTAAAGCCGGTGAGCTCCAAGAGAATGCTACGTGGAGAATATCCACACACACAGTGTGAGGCAGATACCAAGCACTAAACCAATAATCCAATTTCAATACCTATCCCAGAATAATTGACTTAGAAACACCATTCCAGTAAATTTCCTAGCTAGGACAGTTCTAGTGTTTATTCATACCAGAAAAACCAACCACAACACAATAAAAATAAATCTATAATTAACCAAGACGACAGCACAATGTTCTACAAAAGATTTTCACTTAGTTTTAAAAGATAAAATACAAAAAAGTCGCACATAACAAAAAGCCCAAAACTTTTCAATTAATTTAAAACAGCCAAACCAAAACAGAATATTTTCAAACTACATAACAATTAATCAAACATCACGTGATTGTCAAAAGAATCGGGATCAGGTTCTATTGATACAATTAACATAACCAAACCGGCATTAAACTTACAGCCACGAATCAACGGAAATACAATATGGAAACAATTGAAAGACCCACCAAGGCAGTACCTTGCAGAAGGAATCCGCTGTCGATGTTGTAGAATCGCCCGCTACAGTCCTCGTTGTCCCTGTGCCACGCGTGGGGACCGACCACATGTGCCGACCTCGTTTCCAATTTTCACCTTCCCGCCCATGCATAATAGCCTTGCATCTTCCCCAGTTTCAACTTCGTCCCCAACGAGAACCATCAATTACAACCTAATTCAACAAGAAAACCCTAGAACTCTTCAATTCGCTCCGCACGAAGCCCTAGATCACCTTCACGCCCTTCTTCCACCATCCCAGAATCACCAAAAAGCACAGGAACCCTAATTCGTCAATACGCCAAGATGCAAAGCAATTGAATTTGTACACTAAGGCTTCAATTCGTCAATCGATTGAACGATCTGTATCAATATCGTTGAAGCTCAAAACCCCGAAATTCCAGATCGAAGAAAGAACGACAGAGATGAGAGGAGATAGAGCCGCCTTTCGAAGGATAGGAAATTCGACAATACAGAAAGAAAAACTGCAAAAATAGAAAAAAAGAAAATGATATCGAAAAAGAGAGATGTAGAGAGAGAAAGAGATTATATATATATATATATGAGAGAGAGAGAGAGAGAGAGAGGTGGGGAAATGATGTCGTGAGGGCTCGCCAGAAGGCAATAGGTAAGGTGTACTTGGTACTTGGGTAGAGCAGAACGGGCAGGTGGGCAGAGCGGGCTGTCCGGGTAGGGAAATAATCTGCTTACCCGCGGTGGAGTTGGAGACTGTGAGATTTAGGATGTGACAGTTTTGACTGAACCGTTCTATTTTGACTTTTTAATCCTCCGAGTCTCACGCTCGTTTTGTATTTGTTTTTGAAAAAGGAAAAAAAAAATGCAAGCGGTCATGGGTAGACTTATGATTTTTAAATTATTAAAAGATTATATACATGTGTCCAGTTCTTGAATTGGACACATGTATATGTGTATAATCTTGGGAAAATTACATATAAATGGAGTCAAAGTTTCATATTTACTTAGAGGCTGAGTCAAAGTTCCATATTTCTCTAAAATGGATTGCTGAGGTGGCACATAGTTTTTTACTGTTTAGAAATTATGGTGCCTAAAATACCCTTCCACGAAGGTACTACTTTTTCTTCGAAGGTACTACTTTTTTGAACTAAAGGTACTACTTTTTGGCGTCCAGGTACCATGTTTTTTAAACACCCGCGAAGGTACTACTTTTTCTCCGAAGGTACTACTTTTTTGAACTGAAGGTACTACTTTTTTGCACTGAAGGTACTACTTTTTTGTTAGGGAAGGGCATTTTAGGCACCACAATTTTCTAAACAGTAAAAAATCATGTGCCACCTCAGCAATCCATTTTAGAGAAATATGGAACTTTGACTCAGTCTCTAAGTAAATATGGAACTTTGACTCCATGTATATGTAATTTTCCCTATAATCTTTTTCCTCTTTCCTAATATAAGTAAGATCTTCTGCTAAATTTAACTTTAAAAAATCACTACGTATTCCTTTATCACTTATTCTAACATTTTTTACCATGTAAAAAATATATCTCTTACCTTAATTAATCTTTCTTTTCTCATTAATATTTTTATAAATTAATTTTATATTTTATTTTAGGCATGACTTGAGGGGTTGGCCACTCAATTAGTCCAATTTAGAGTGTTCTAAAAATGTACTTCGATCCTTAAATATTTTTTAAGTTATTCTAAATTGAATTCGCTAAATGAACTTGGATCCTTAACTATTTTTTAAGTCATTCTAAATTAAATTCGCTATAGATTGACACATGACATTTAAAATCTATCTACTACTAGTGTTAAACCACGTCAACTAATTTTAAAAAGTTTCAAAACTGCACCGTTTTGATATAAGAAAAATTTACAAAAGTTTAAAAACCGTTTTGAATTTGTCTTGCAATCACATTTTCGTATTAATTTTTGTCGCGAAATATTCCCCCAAATAAGAAAGGGGAGAGAGGGAGGATTTTTTTTTGGAAAATATGAGGAAGAGATAACGATGTTAAACAAATGGTGCAGTTTTTAAACTTTAGTAAATTTTTTATTATCTCAAAACAGTGTAGTTTTCAAACTTTTTAAAATTAGTTAACGTGGTTTAACATCAGCAGTAGATAGATTTTAAATATCACAGTGTCAATCTGTAACAAATTCAACCCAGGATAACTTAGAAAATATTTAATTTAGAGTATCAAAGTCTACTAAAAATATATTTATAATGTATAGAGGTTGCAATGTCAAATTGAACAATATTTAGGCTCTGTTTGTTTTGACGTAAAATAATCTTTTTGAAAAATATATATTTTTTTAGGTAAAATATTTTTATTCTGTCGATATTTGGCAAAAATATACGTCGAGGTTGTGGTCGAATTTATCGGACGGGACATGTAAAATAACTTGCCGAATACAATAAAACACCACAAAATAAAAAAATATTTTCTGAAAAATATTTTATATCCAAACAAACGGAACCTCAGGTATAAATATTGTTTTGTGAAATTTATCTACTCTCATTCATCAAAATTAGGAGGTTACCGTAACAAGATCTACATGTATAAATAATTGTATATATTTATAATGGTTTATATAAACTTATACACATGTATAAATACCCAAACAAGTTAAACTACTGTTTTGCCCCTTGGCCTATACTCTCTAGTTTTCTAACTTTTCTTTTCAATATAAGAATCTTTATAGCAGGCTAGTTTCCGCATCACACTGGTACCATGATCATGCATTTTTCCGCAAAATACGTCTCAGAGCATGCATATATATATATATATATATTCCGCAAAATACGTCTCAGAGCATGCATATATATATATATATATATATATATTTACACACACATATGCAAGTATAAATATTTCCATGCATAGATACTGTTATATATGCGCCCATGTAAGAGCATCTATGCCCTCACTTGCGATTAAATGTCTTTATTTGCATCAAGACAATACCCTGCTATTTAAGCTTTTGGCTATGTATATAAACCTATATATGTATGCGCCCATGTAAGAGCATCTATTTATGCCTTTACTTGCGCTTATACATGTGCCTGTGAATGTCTTTATCTGTATCAATATTAACATTGGCAGACATATAAATATATCTTCACACAAGTACAAACTAAGACTGACAACCGTGAACATGTTTATGAAACTCAGTCAAAGAGCAATCACTTTTAAGTAAAATAATACAAAAGAGCAATCCCTTTTAAGTAAAATAATACAAAAAAGGGCAGGTTTATCTCTGGCTCTCTTCCAGCTCCAGCATGCTGCATAGGTGACTCATACACTGAGTAGTGAGCACATTTTTATCTCCATTTACACACATATATGTTGTATGTATACACGAGTTGTAACTGTTGTATATGCATGCTGATGCACATTCATGCATACGAAACTATTTAAATCCAGGTGACTTTATGTTGGGTCTACCTAAATACCAAACTATTTAAGAATTTTAAAATAAAGACACTCTAATCCAAATGATGTGCGCTTCTGCGAATTCGATACACTATGAATCGTCTCATTCGTTATAATTTTTCAAGAGTTTGATACCGTCACACACCTTCATAAACTAACCAATTTACACTGATATTCGCCCGAGTCCATTACACTGAGACTGCAAAACCATGGGGACATTTGACGTGGAAATATACAAGTATAGAGGGGACTATAGTGGAAATAAATGAGAAAATAGACGGTTCAGTTGAGCAAAAACTTCCCCATTGAAATGCATACTTAATCAATCATCTAAATCGGTAAGCAGTCATACCTCTACATAAATATATGCCTAGTATATATGCATCTGATATCTGTAATATCATTCTCAACAACCTCATCAATTGAATGCCATGTGCCTGCTATGTTGAGCAGCTGAAAAGAAACAACACTCCATGAACTTCAATGAAGTACACAAGTTATCGAATGCGAAGCCAAATAAGTTTGAAACTGCATTTTTCTATTTGTTCTATGGTTTCTTTTCGATAAAAGAGTATCTATAACAGGCTAATTTACACATCATTTTGGCATCTATGATCTTGCATATATTTGGCAGAAATATATTGCAATTCAATTCATATCAATGATTTTAAGGAATTGAAAAAAATTACATTTTAATCATAATATGAAGTGTATTAAGAATGAGGATTTAATAGAAAATGATGAATCTTAGAGAAAGCTGGAAATGTTACTTTAAGAAGTTGTTGAACGGAAATTATATGGTTTCATGACAATCTTATGCAAAGGATCAATAATTTTCGTCTTAATTATACTCCTTATATTACCTGACAAAACACAGTCAACATGAGGTTTAGTAGTATATAACTCTATACCAATTAGTAATTACATTTTTTTTATTTTATAGAATAGAGTACGGCTGAGAACTAAATTAGAAGTTCTGGAAAGATGATAAATAACACTAAAACTGAATATATGGCACTAAATTTAGAAAAAAACAATACCAATGAAGATGTAGTGAATATCGAGAGTCAAGAGACACAAAAGGCGAATAGTTTCGTTTCAAAATTTTGATTATTTGAAATTAAAAGTGCATAATTAGAACAGTTCAGGTTAAACAAAGTAGTGCTTCTATTATATCGTGCGTTCAACGTTCAACGTATACAACCACAATTGGTAGGCAAGTCAGATAAAGCAGTTACTACCCTAACCACATTTGATGAAACAAAATGTTTTAAAGCCCGAAAAAACATGCGAATGGTGAACTGTGAAGCAGGAAATGATGAAACTATAAGTAAATACATTCGCAAGACAGTTGAAGTAACACTCATTAAAAACAAATAACAGATTATAGATGGTTTAATACGTGCAATGAAGACCGATAACTCCACCACTACGGAAGAGAGGCATGGGTTATATATCTATCCTCTTCTTTTAAATCTATTTTGTCATTCCCTTGTATATTATTTCCTCTATTTCTTCTAACCACATCTCATCTCCCAATTCTCATCCCCTTCTACATTTCTTGTCATGTATTATTAACTTATCATAAGAGCATTGTTTGTCCTGTATCAGATGGTGCTCAAGGCACTTCTATAGCTTCCATGCCACTTTATGCAAGAAGATTAATAGATCAACGTGTACAAGAGCATCAAAAGCATTCAAACATGTATCGGTGTTTCCAGGTGGCACCATTCATGTATGCCACCTGTCTTATGATTTGATTGATCATTTTTGCTTTAAGTTACAGATCTTCCTGATAAAAAGAGCCATCATTGTAAATTAACAGACTGGTACATGCAGCCATAGACGCCACACTCAGGAAAAAAGAAACATAAAGGCATAATCAATGTCAACCAAAAGAACCTGATCAGTACTCATGGAAACAGATGATCAAGATGGTTGTCATCATAAATCATTTATCATCCTCTTCATTGCAGCGGACCTCCTTGGATCTGGCTCTTCAATTGCTCTCTCAGTAAGAACGTGCTTGATTCGGCACATTGACTTCCTCACCTGAATTTCATTTATCATCAACCGCAAACACAAATAAATATTACGTTGTCAATAAATAAAAGAACAAATTGAACTCTTAAGTGAAACAATTTAACAAGAATAGCCATATACCTGTTACTTCTATTCCAAATTCTTGCCGGAAAAAGCACGCAATAACTAAAAAATTTCAAGTTCTAATAGTGAATTGCCACGATGTTTGTTATTCCAAAGAATTCCTCGAGCTAGGTGTTTAATATTAGCAAAATTCAGGAGGTTGCTTACGAGTTCAATTTCTCATGAAACTGCTCAACATAAATGAAGGCACTAGTTCTCTTTGAGGGTCTTTAGGCTTTCCTCTCACAATTTCAACAGCAATTTTGCAGTTCATAGATTTTTTTGCCTCAATTAAATACGATTTATTGAAAGAAAAAAAAAAACTAAATGCCAAAAGCGCAAATGCTGAGAAAAAATCAGTATATCTTAAAATTTCCTGCACAATTTGAAGGAGAAAAACACATACAAAGTTCCCAAATGTCAGAGGCCGGGGGAAAAAAAAAAGTAAATTCTTAAAGAAAGTTGTGAAAAATGGTGGTAGGGCCAAAGCTAGATGTTGGTTGGGAATGAAAACATATGGTTGGTGCTGGCACACATCTCAATGGTGTTAATCACATTTAAAATAAGATTGAAAAAATAAAAAGGTTGTCGTTTGACTAACCTTCAAGTTTCAATGGCTATGGGCCTAGAGGATCAAGTACAGTCAGACACCAACTTCTAATTCAAAAGGTGATGTTGTACCACAAGACTTAGATGCCATCAACATATAAGAGCTACCCTGTGGGACTATAGTAATTGTATTATACTTAGAACAACTAAAAGATCAATATGACTCACGGTAAAGCTTTGAAGCATTTAGCTTCCTGTCACTATGCAAAGCTTTAGTTGGGCAAAGGATGAGACACAGATGATCAATCAGAAATCTATTATCATCGGACAATATCAAATCAGTGGTTGAGTCATCCATGTGCAATGGACAGTTACAAGGTGAAGAATCAGGAATAAGGTAGAAGGCAGATTTTCAATTGCATTAAAGGAGGATAAAATGATAGCAGAATTGGATTCTAGTAAGGGTTAATACAGAAGGTTCTATTGAGGGTGACAATAATGATTTTTTGTATCAGAAAAGAAATGAAAAAATAAAACGTCTTTGATTTCAAAGAGCATATTTGTCAAACCTTTTGCCCAAACTCAATTATAATTTATAAAAAGAAAAAGGTGTATTTTGTAGTAACCAGTGTAACCTGGAGTTAAAGAAAACAATAAGGAATCCCTTTTGAGGTAGGTGATTGGCATGTCAGGAGCAGTTCCTTCTTTTAGAAAAAGACAACACATTATCATGCAAGAAACTCTTGGAATAGAAAAGAAGGGTGAGGGGAATCTAACATAGCAATACTAACTTTATAAGCAGCTCTGGAAACACATGGTATATACATTAAATTAAGACACGAGTGAAGAAATATGTTGACCAAATAGATTAAAATCAAAATTCCAACATAGGGCTTTAGCCTAGTGGGGTATCTCCTCAGTCCTCAACCTTCCAAAGTGGAATGTCGGGGGCCAAGTCCCCGTTGGGACAAAATTGGGTGTGTGAGATACGTGCCAAAGGTAAACTTAAAGTGCCAATTGAAAAAGAAAACCATAATAATCACTCTGCAAGATATCTAGAAATTGCATGTGGCAAAGACCAGACAAAAAAAATACAAAAAAAAGGCTAAGGAAACTTCCAACCACTTTCTTCACTAGCGATGGTGCAAGAGTTGTGGTTCATGGTGCTATGTTTGTTTGGCATGATTTGGGTTATATGCCCTGGTTTTTGTTAAATTCTTTTAGATACTCAGTGGTCGCGTTAGTGAGAGAGTCCATTGGTTTTATCTCATGTCGAAGCGTAGGATATGCCCATTCATAGGACAAAGAAGCTATGCTAGATTCTTTCCAATTTCAAATGTCTGGGCAACTCCCAGATATATATATATATATATATATATATATATATATTCTTCTGTATCCATATATTCTGTGTACGTTGATAGGTTTATCTTCTATAGGGAGAGTAGATTATGGCGCTGGTATTATGTGCGCCTACATTGGCATAACCCCAATAGGGGAATGTCACAAGAAGTCTTCAAAAGTATATGAAATACCCATGTCGGACATACAACATTCTGACAAGGGTATAGGATGTATGCCTGACACATTAAGTTGGACATGCAACTAAAAAGCATATATGAATTATTCAAATTGTTTAAAAACGAATTAATGCCTATTTTGAGCACTACGTAGTACGTACATAGACAGCTTATTTTACTCCAGAAATTTCAAAAAGTAAATTAAATAATTTAACTATTTAGCAGTGTCCCTGTATTGTTCTATTTAAGGATTTCATACATTCGTAGCTTCGATACGTACCTGCACCTCACAGATTCAAGTTCATGTAACATAGCTCGGGCGCTTTCGCTTATAACACAATTTACTTTTAGAAAATAAAACAAATTTTAGGGAAACAAGTTTGATTAGTTTACCAAGTAAAAACAAAGCAATTCGCCAAAACTAAACTAAAAAAAAGCCTCTCTTTTTTTCATTTATTCGAGGTTGACACTGTAGCTCCTTTTTCGCCATCTGTTGTTGTTAGTGCTAGTTACATATTTGGTTCAAAGCCCGAAAAAATAAAGGTTGTGTTTGGCAGATAGTGTAAAACCTTAATCAAGACTAATAAACATTAATGCTTTGTTCGGTAGGAAGGAAGGAAGGAAGGAAGGAAGGAACAAACTTTCTTTGTTCGGTAGAGAGGAGAAAAGGATAGAGGATAATAGGAGGGATAAGTCATCTTTCATCCTTTACAAATTTTCATCCCTCCAAATACGGGCGGAAGAGAGGAGGGAAAACAAGTGGGGCTATTATAGAAGTTTTAAATTACAATATTATCCTAAATTATACAAGTTTTAAATTAAAATACTATCCTCTTTAAATTACAATATTATACATAGTTAAGTTTAAAATTACAATAGTATCCTAAATTATACAAGTTTTAAATTATAATACTATCCTCTATAAATTACAATATTATATAGATAGTGATAGGTATAATGGTAAAAACAATTTAAAACTCTCTCTCCCCTCCTCTCTTAATGAACATAGTAAATTGTGAGCTTATTCTCTTCTCTTCCATCCTGTCGAACAAAAAGAGGGAATGATACAATCTCTTCCCTAGGATGTCGCATCTATCCCTTCCTCTCTCCCTTACATCCAAATTTGTTCTTTCCTACCGAACGAAGCATAAAGCAATTAACCAAAACTTTGAAAAGGATCAGTTTTAGCTGAGACAGTTAAGTATAGACCAAGGTCAAGCTTCCAAATTATAATTACACATAACGAGGAAAAGAATACGCACTCGAATATTTGAACATGTTAAGAGTACCTATTTGCACTGGCATATTCCATGAACTGATGTAAGTTTATTAGGAATGAGTTCATTGTCCACGGTTGGTCATCGAAGGTGTGATTGATAATTGAAACCAACGGAATTATCTTCAACAGAATTCTTCAAATCACTTCAATCACACACTCCATGGAATGGCAAGTGACTAAAATATCATATGATTTAGGTTTATAGATGTTAGTTTAGATGACCAAATTAATCTTTATTACACCTTAATATACAGATGAACATGTTTGAAAATTAGTTAAGAAGTTCAGAATGAAAAATACATGTAGATTGTACACATAAATGTCTTGTATTTGGACCAGGCAGTAAGAGACACAAAGGGACCTTTCTTGGAGGCCGAGGGAAAAAGGCCTGGTTACATAACTCACTTGGTCATCTACATATCCCACTATTCCAGTGTAAAACTTTCCCAAGGAAAGGTTATTGGATTGAAGCATTTGACATGTACAGCCGATCAAACAATGCATATGCTTAGACCAGTCAATGGATTGGATTATGATCCAAATCCAATCTGATAACTTGGATATGGATTTAAACATTTGATTCAATAACCCATTAAAGATCTGAATCCATAATCCATTAACTAAACAAATCAAATAAGTAGTATGGTTGATCGGACTCAAAAATAATCCGATCAGAGATAATATGATCTACAATATGCTAGAAATATATTATCTAATGCTATAATATATAATATTTACATATTATAAAAATCTATTTATCATTATTTTTTCTTCTTCTTTCCTTTCTATTTTTTCTTACACTATTTTTTTCCTTAACAAATAGTCAAATACCTAATTTTCTCCTCTCTCTCTCTTTTCTTTTTTTTTTCACATTTTATTTGTCTTCTTCGGCTTCTTTCTGTTCATTGTTTGTCAATCTCTTTTGACATTAAATTTGTAACAAAAAAAACTACACCCTTAATGAATCAATTTATCAGTTTTTTTCATTCATAAATATCCGTTGGATCAGATTTGAATAGAATTGAACCAAACTGGATCTTGTAGCTACTCGACCAATTGAGTTATGGTCGAAGTATGTCTAATAGTTAAACAATTGGTCAACCAATAGGGTCGATTGGTTAAACTTACTGCAATAGCCAATCACCTTGAGCACAAAGTGAGCCAATAAAACAAGTTTATTATTCCAAACCCACCTCCTAAGCTTCCTAATTTATATCAATCTCTTGTACTTTGCAAAAACACAATTAGGATTGTCAAAAAGAGGAACAATTCATAAGAGAAAACTTTGGAGAGCTTTTCTAGATACACAAAGTCTTTGGTTCTTCAACAAATAGTTTGATTATCCCTTGTGGCCTCGTGTGTGAGATTTTGATGGAGCAGGCTATCGATATCTAGAATTGTATAATCTTTTTTGGATAACATCTTGATCGATCGATCGATCGAGGTATATTGGAAAGCTGTCAATTAATTGACAATTCGACATTTAGTCTTGACTGTCGAGACTTACAGTTCCAATTTTCAAGTCCAATTTTTGAGAAATAAATTTTTACTGAGGTTTG